TTTTTTTCTTCATATTTTCCTCCCACACTTTTTAGAGTGCAGTATAATACAAAACTGCGGCAAATCTTCAAATCTGAAAAAGTGTAATTATCAGCAAATTGACACTAATTGATTTGACATAACGATTTTTTTAAATTCTGGTTAGTATGTAACTTTCTATTAAGTGGCTGATCATTTTGACCTTTGTTCTTTTTTTCTTTTTCTTTTTTTTGACTTTATGTAATTTCGGCATTACGTAAATGTCACCTTAATGTCTGAGACCTGTATTAGTATGCGTTTGTCTCCACTATTGCATTGCATATCATAAGAGTCTCAGATTCTTTTGCATCATTTCTTTCTGTTAGAGTATACTTTGAAGTTCTCTCCAAAAGCAGCATTGCTGATGGTGTGCGTGCTCTGATGAATGATTTAGACATCTGTCTGTTAAATGTGTCTCCTTTTTTTTTTTTTGCCAGAAGAGGTGGGTATGAGCTCGTAGGCATACTGTAGCTGTCGCCGCATCAGGGGTAATGAGGTGAGATGGGTTGCAACGAAGTGCTCAACCAAGCAAAACAAAGCCATATGTTTGTCTAAAGGTGCCTCCTTCTGGACTGTTCGAGATGTCATTGTTGTCGAAGCAGCGTGTTGTATGTATTTGTCTCTGTCTGTTCTCTTGTTCCATCAAGCTCACTGTGTGTGTGTGGAGCAAACGCTAAATAAATGGCAGTCAGCAGCCACTCTGCTTCAGGCAGTAGCCCCGTTCCTTTAATCTTAGCCAGCCTCTCCCCCTCAGCTTTTTTTTTTTTTTTCCTCCTTGTCTCTGACTAACCACTCTTGACAGGGAAAGTGCAGAGAGGTAGGCTGCCTGTCGGCTGCAGGGCAAATTTAAACAAACGAGAAAAATAAAAGAAGGAATACAGGACAAAAAAAGGGAAAAATGACAGCTCTGGTACATGAGAATAATTACAGGCTAGAGTGAAATTAGCACAGGCGAGAGGAAGGGAAGAATAAGGAGCGCCGGAAAGAGCGGCAAAAGAAGAATGGAAATAGGTGCGCAGCTCGAGCACTTTTCTTCAGGTTATGGGAGTTGGTGGGAGCTGAGGGAAAATGCTGAGCATTGTATTCGGAGTCTAACAGGTGTAACAGATTCTAGGAGGTAGTCATTTGCAGAGGCAGCTGCCTATGTAGCTGCTGCTTTTGGTATAATAGAAATATGAAGAGGTGCCCAACAGGGACTGCATCCAGAATGCATGTGTTTGAAATGTAGAGTGGGCAAAGTAGAGGGAGATGAAAGAAAGAGGGTAGGCGAGAGCTGGATGCTGTCTACTACACTCGATATCCCTCTGTGGTTTTTCCTTAAAAGTGTATCTGAACTGGAGAAAAATTCCCCACAGAAACTTTAAATGAATTTCTTTCTGTGGTGAAGCATGTACATTAGTCTTAATACATCCTGTAAATACAGCCTGTAAATCAAGCATAAAGCAGCGAGAATGAGCACTTGCATTTTGACAGATAGCCTCAATTTCAATTACTGGGACCATTAAAGCTCAGAGGACAGGCTGATGGGTGCATTCATAGCCGCTGTGAGCAAAGAGCCTCTGAAAAACATCACACGCACTTACTACAACTCTTGACATGCGCACCCCATCACATCAAGACTTCTCCCTCTCTCAGCATTAACGGCAGACAACACAACAGCACACTCAAGGATTACCGCGAGAGGATCCGAGCTGATGGGGCCGCTGGCATAATTGTGATAAATGACGGCCTTTCGTCAGTGTGC